GGGAGCTCATTGGCTTCGAGTTCCATTGGAACTCCGAAGTTAAGCGAGTTTACGCGAGAGTAATACCAGGATGGGTGACCCACTGGGAAGTTCTCGTATGAGTTCCCAGAAAAAAAAAAACTGTAAGGGTGTGGTCGGGGTCCAAAACAGAGAATATCGTGCTACAGTGGAGTCGAGACCAGAATGCGATGGGGGCCTGAACTGGGATGTGACAGTTTTTCCTCAAAATATATCAAACAAATGGACGATTATAGTTATAAGTAGTATCCTCATAATAAACCGTGAATAAGTTCATATGAAACAATATCTGAATCGAATGTGTTTAAAATGATCTTTAGAGAGAATAAAGACAGTAAACTATTTAGAGTATAATGTATGTACGGTCTAATTCACAATGTCGCGTTACTCATGAAAAATGAGAGAAGTATTCTCCGTAGAAAAGTCAGGAAATAAAAGCAAAAAAGAGAATGATAGAGGAACACGTGGCAGGCCAAAGCTGTTTCTTGTACGTACCCACAAAGTTATAGGATAATTAAGCATGGGCTTCCATACTCGAGGCTACTTATTTCTTCTCTTTTGTTTTAGGACCACGCAACCGCTTGTGGCTATTTTGTGTGGCTACAGTTCACAAAATGTGAAAATCCACAAGTGCTTTTGAATTTTCGGTGCTTTTCTGCAAAAGCACTTATAATCTTTGGAGTGAACATTTGATTACGTGATGTAGATAGAGAGGTCTTTGGAGAAAAACAATTCGGGGATGTTTTGACTATTTTGCACGTTCATGACTCTCTCCCTTTGAATAATGCATTTGCTTTCATTTTTCTTAATTAAATTGATGAATGGTCATTCTTGTGCATATGTCACATTGCCAAAGACAATTTAATTTGTCCAATTTGAATGAAATAATTGATGTATACATGTTTTTTTGTGAAGAAAAACAAAAACAAAAATCTTAAACAGGATACTTCGAATACAATGACCTATGTAAGGGGATGACCAGTCCCGAATATGTTTTTTTGATTGACTGTTATCTAATATTGGGCATTACGAGACCCCGTTTAAGAAGCGGCGCGCAAGGAAATCTCCCTACAATTGACATATAGCCCTAAGCTAAGTCGGGGGCACTTTTAATTTATTTGTTTGCTCATAGATTGCACGATTATTTGCTATTCAAAAATATCTTTCAAGATTAAGCAATAAGTGAATTTGAATTTCATTGTGATTGCTCAATTTAGAACTTATTATCAAGCCAACTACTTAGTGTTATCGACTTTGAATTTCTTATCAATATAATATATTTTTCAATGCGATACTCTAACATATTCAAATTTACAAGAAGGGAATCTAAATTCGGGAGCAAGATGAAAGATACATTTCATTGTCAACTGACCCACATGCATTGCAATTTCATACGGTACCTCATGTAAGTTGTAACACTTTAAAGATTGGTCACATGACTAATTATTGCTAGACATATATTGTATAAAAAGACGAAGAAAAATTTTCTTGAAATAATTAGGAAGGACATGTTCGAGAAAAAGTGGAACCATATAAATAAATTTTGATGAAGAGATAGGGTTTAGGATTATTCAATGTGACCAGAAATTCATTACTTAGACAAACGACATCCAAAGATAGGAGAAGATAAAACTAACAATAATAGATAAATTTTTATGATGCAGATAGATAGTTATTGCGACGATGTATACATGTCAATAAAATTCTCAACTAACAAGTACGATTAACATCTTTTACATATTTGTATGAAACAACATATTCATCGATACTACTACAACACGACTTTCAAGTCTAATAATACATTATCATATACAATTCCTTGCCATACAAAAATATATTCTTAAAGTTGAACGTTACTATAACAGTAAATCCGTCGTGCACAGGGAGCCTTGAAGTGCTAGGAGGAGGAGTAAATCCACACGCCTGCATTTATATTACTGTTCATTTATGGGTTTCTGCGGCACTAGTTATTATTAGTGAATCCGATTCCTAAAGGAATCCTGAGCCTGAGATTGCGATTAATGATTGTTATTGCATTGCAGCGCAAAATACGTCCACCAATCAGCCATCAATAAAATTAAAGATAATTAAATAATTATATTTATTATTTATTCTTCTTCTGCAAAAGTAATTATGTATATACTTTGCAGGTTTCCAGAATCCAGATGAAGAAACTATACATTAAAAAGGCGCGTGCTTCTGCTGCAAGAGACACAGATGGGACAACTGGAACCACAAAAGCACCCTTTTATTTTTATAAAATTTAATTTAAGTTTTTTACTTGGCCACCAACGACGAAGGTTTCAAGAATTCCTGACCGATAACTGACTACTTTTTTGTTTCGAAAATATCTCTGGTCCTTTTTGTACCGTAAAATTAAAAAAAATTTAACGAAAAATTTTCAGTATTGTTATTTTAACGAAAAATTATATTTTTATATTAAAAATTAATCTGATATTATTCATTCTACATTTTATTTTATCTTTATCTTAAAATTTAAAAATTTTAAACTATTTTCATTAATTTTCTTTAAAATTAAATCCTTAAACCTAACAAAAAAAGTAACCCATTTTCATCACCCTTCTTCAACAACTACAAAAACTTTGCATCTTATAACATGAAACAACATTAGCATCACTATTGGAACGTTCTGGTTTAATAATATAAGTAATGTATACGTTTTTCTCCGTATTTTATTACATTATTAAATTGAAATATTACGTAACAGCTAACTTGTTTTATATAAATTGCACTCTAAAAGTTAAAATAAGTCTAAAATATAAACACAAGGTTAAAATCTTTCCCCTTTCGTACTATTCATTCAACTAACCAACTCTTATGATTTTGATCCAAGAGATTTACTTTTGCGTACAAGAAATGTAAATATAACGTTTCTTGCGGTAATTGTTCTTGTGAGTCGCAATCGTCACTTAGAACAAATATTGTAAATTTGTAATTAGATGGCGTACCCATCCTTTTGTAGGCAACAACCTTTCCTGGTAGTTAGCCTAAGTATGCCTAACTAGGCAATGTCCATGCCCGCAACAAAATTGAAAATCGGTTAAGTGGGGACATTTGCATATGATTAATACTCACATTAAATAAAATTCCCTTTATTTGGAAAAAAACAAGAAGATGAAGATAAAATTCTTTTTGAACCATCTCCAACCCTCAAAGATAAAAGCTTAAAAATTTAAGCCATCAATTTTAAGCCATAAGTCAGAAATTGTTTTTCTTCTCCAACCCTTATGACTTAATATTTTAGCCCGTAATAATTAAATAATGATTTTAGCCTAATTTTTTGTTTTCAGTAACTATTTATTTTAAAGTAAAATTTATGTAGATTATCTTAAATTTATTTTTATGAACATTTTAATCTTAAAATATTTAAATTCTAATAAGTAATTAAAAATCATACAAATACATAAGTATTTATAAAGTTTTAAGTTAAAATTGATTTAAATAATTTTCTTAAATTATTTTAGACGTTAGATTTAATTTTGGGCCGTCAAATCTTTTTTTTTTTACTATTAAATTTGATCTCATTTTATCATCGCCTTTAGATTATAAGAAAAAAAAAGTTTGAAATTGGAAACGCTCCATTTCTAGTTGACACGAATAAACACTAATATTGGCTTAAATCCTAGGGAGAATCTAGCCCAGAGATATATTTTCTCCCCACGACTTATTTTAGCCCATGGTTAGAGATGGGGCGGGGTGTTTTGGGGGGGGGGGGTGTGGGTGTTGGGGTGTTAAAGCTTATATTTTAGTTGGTGCTGTTAAAGCTTATATTTTAAGCTTTATCCAATGGGTTGGAAATGATCTTAGTGGGTGGGATGATGTGTTTTCCATTAGGCCAGTGGAAAAGTACCCAAATTCAGATTGGGCTGTCCCACTATAAACCAAACTTGGGCCAAGTCTGGGTCATACCCAGGGTCAACTAATGACTCATTTGGGAGTGTTACTGTTTATGTAGAAATGATTTTACCAAATTAGGAGCAAAAGTGCTTTTATTAGAAATATGGTAAAAATAGAAAATTTGAAAGTCAAAGTGTTTCCTAAAAATTATTTGAAAGCGCCAGATATGTGCTTTTCGAGAAAGTCTCTCTATGACTTATAAGCACTTTTTAAGTTTTTCTCCCAATATAGCCCGAAATATTCTCACAGACACTTTTTGACATTCCATAATCAATCTCAAACAAGTCATTGATTACCATTTAAGGCGTTTTAATCTTTTATTAGAAATATGTTAAAAAGAATTTATTAAAAGTTCAAGTGTTTCTTGAAAATCACTTTAAAATACTTCCCAAAGAATCACCAACTATATGCTTCTCTAGAAAGTTTTGCTATGACATACACAATTCCAAGTTTTTTCTGTCAAATGCAGGGCTGGTTTGGTATTGCTGTGCTTTGAAAAAAAGCTGCTTCTGCTGTGCTGTGAGAATAAGCAGCTGTGAAATAAAGCAGCAGAGTGTTTGGTAAACTTTTTTGTAAAAGTGCTTTTGAAAAAAAAAAGTAGTATTCGAGTGTTTGGTAAACTTTTATGTAAAACAGATGTGAAAAAAAGCTGGTTTTTCAAAGCTAGGTTTTGCAGCTTCTTGTTTTTGGCTTTTTTTCATCCAAAACTGTGAAAAAAAACTGAAGCTGAGTGTTTACCAAACACAAAAACAGCTCCCAGCTTTTTTTGATAGCAGCTTTTTTCAGAATCACCTCAGTACCAAACCAGGTCGCAGTCTAAAACGCTTTTTGCCCTTTCCAGAAGCCAGTCTCAAACAAGCCCTCGACTATCATGTAAAGCGTTTTTAAAATTTGCTAAACACTCCATATTCCGTAAGCGATTTTCGTTCTCGCATAAATCACTCCAGAACGGGCCCTACATTGAACATGGATAATGTGATCGCAATCCTAACCCACCCATCGCAATTCGTCACCACAAAGTTGAACAATAGAGAGAGATACATTAAACAGCAATGCACACAAGATAATCTGAAATGGCTTTAGCTTTTCATACGTATTTACTCAGGATTCTTGAGAAATCACATGATGAAGAAGTTGGAGGCTACTAAAAGGTCAAACAAGTCGCAGCTTTTCCTACATAGACATCAAACTTTGGACAAGAAGGATTCATCTCTCTATCCGATTTTCGGGTGTGCATTAGTAAATCATGTTAAGGCAGAGACATACCAAAGCTAAGAATCTGGAATATGTACTACACTGGTAGTAGCTTGGTCTTCCCTCTTTGATGATTTCTTTCTCTTCCTCTCCGATTGTGGTTCTTTGGCTTTCAGATCGTTGCAGAAGGACCTCAACAAGGTGGCCAGATGTTCGTTTCTGTGTGCTGAAACCGTGTTTTCCATGAAGAATCGGTACATCCAGATTCCAGAGTCCAAAGAAGAAAGTTCAGACAAAAAAATATAGAAGACAGAACAGAATAACTAGGTTCATAAGAATTTGGGACACATTGTTATATCATTCAATCTCGGTGGGGGTGACATCAATGAGAAATCTAAGGCTTGAAGAATGAAGACTCACCAGAAAGTATGACATCTTCCACGTTTGCAGTTTTACGACCACCGTGTCGAGAAAATAACTCGAGGTCCTTTGCCAGCTGTTCTGCTTTGCAAAATTGCAAATCTTCCATTAGTAACCCATGATTGAAATTTAACATACAGGACACTGCAGCAATCTAAACTATCTTTCAGAAGAACTGTTAAGCTCAGGAAATTTATGGCATAAAAATTCTTAGGGTGAATTGTATGATGCATCAAAAGCAATGTCACAATTTTCAAACCATCACATAATATCTCTCACAATCTCTCCCACCAACAAATCTAATCAGAATTTTTTCGACAATTTTAAAATCATCACATTATCTCTCACCATCCTTCCTACCAACAAATCTAATCGGATTTCTTCGGTCCATTCAAACGAAATGCATTCCTTAAAGAAATTTCTCCTCCAATTAATCCTGTGAGAACTTTCTTCAAATCCCACTTTCAAATCAGACCTATCATTTATCAATCGAACTCCAAAAACCCAATTCAGAAACTAATATTCCTACCAGAAGAGGCAGTCCAGTTTGGAGTTTCAATCGCCTCCTACTGACGAATCTAACTGGAATTGCTTCGGTCCACGCAAACGACATTCATTTGCATCAAAGTTCATTTCTACACCCAGTAACCCAGTTCCTAATCAGACATTCCATTTTCCAATCAAAATTCAAAAACCCAATTCCGAAACTAAAATTTCTACCAAGCATTTCTGATTCGATTTTCAAACACACAAGCACAAGAATCTCACCACTCTGTTCCAGCCAGTTCTATCATCGATTAAACGAAACTGTAAGGTCATCGCAATTTTCCCAAAATTCTTAATTGCATAGCAGAAAGCAAAAAGATCAAAGCTAAGGACAAAATACCTGTATACTTGAAAGCCAAATCGGCAATGCAAGCCATCACGGGCCCCGAAATCACCATGGCGTTTCGCTTCGCTGCAGCGAATGGGGAATTTGGAGAAGTGAGAATCGGAAACGAAATCAGGGCCGTCCAAATTAATGAAATATTATGGAAATTTGGAGAGTGCGTGCGTGCGTTCACCTTCGGCTTATATGGATGGTGGAGAGTCTGAATCGATCTATGAGAAGCTCGCTCACTGATTCGTCTTCCTCCCTCTCCGTTTTTCACTCTTCTTGCTCTCTGGGAAATTCTAGGGTTCCGTTACTTTGTACCAATCGCGCGCGAAAACGAATCAAACGCAGCGTTTCTTAAATTGAAATGGGTTAAAGAAATTTTGCAGCACATATTTATTTCTCTTTTTATTCTTTTTATTTTCGAACAAACAATATCATCTATACTAATAATGTGTTAGCAAGAATGTAGTTCAAATTTATTTTTGATGTTATTAGTGAAAAGAAAATCACTAGACCATAGTACAAAACGACATTTTCCCATCTTTAGATTAAATATAAATTCCAACAACGTATGTCTTTTGCAGGGTAACGTCTACAAATTAAACTAATAATTTTAGGACAGCTGCTAATATTTTCATAATTAAGTTTATCCTTGTATTATGCCCATGTAATGATGGTCGAAAAAAGTGATATCATTTTTGCATCTTCCCTTTGTCTCCAAACCCAGATTTTTGCATATCACAAAATTAATAATATACCAAATAATTAATCACCAAAATCTTTGATTTACTTAACAATCGGAAATCATTTTCCTTACTCAAAAAGCAAATGAGGTACACATATAGTGACTGTAACAATGATACTAAACCACGTGCCGTAACATTAGTGGTGTGAGGATCCTCTCCGGATTCTCAAATCGTTGATGTTTATCGTACATCGTGCGAATAATTTTCGTAAGATATTATTAATATTTAATTTTAAATAAAAGTATTTAAAATAATTTCTGACACATAATATACAATAAACGGATACGATTTGAGGATCCCCATGATCCTCACAAAGAGGATCCGACAAGGATCTTCATTCACATTAGTGGACAACAAACTTCTACCCTCATTGTGTTTAACGTATAATTTTAATAAATATATACGTGTTACAAAATGATTGGATTGGTAATTCGAAGCAGCAGAGTTACGGTTACACTGAATAATTTCTCCGCTAAGAGCGCCTATACACGTGATGCACCTGTGACCTGTGTAAGGGGGATGTTGCAGACAATTAATTCGCCATTAGCCAGAAGATTAGGCTGTAAATTTTACTTAATTTGTAGGATTTAGTTCCAATATATGGCTGTAAATACTTATAGGAAGAAAAGCCATTGTCCAAAAAGCACAGTCCTCATCTTTTGTAACCAAAACTGTGTGATAAGAAAACCCTTTTGTCTCCTGATGGAATTGGAGTCTATGAAACATGAAGCTGCCAGTCCTAGACCTGACCAAGCTGACAAACAGCAAACGCCGGACGGGACTGGCAGCTTAGTCAGCGAAGACAAAACCAAAATCACGAGGCACCCTCGATGGACCCGACACGAGACCTTTGTCCTCATAGAAGGCAAGAGGGTCGTGGAGAATGTGGTCCAGAGGGGCCGGCGATCTACTTCAGCGTTGGGGACAGAAAATTTTGAACCCAAGTGGGATTTGGTCTCGTCTTACTGCAGGCAGCGCGGCGTGAGCAGATGGCCTGTTCAGTGCAGGAAAAGATGGAGCAATCTGCTTGTGGATTTTAAGAAAATCAGGAACTGGGAGGCACAGATAAAGCAGGAGGCCGAGTCGTTTTGGGTGATGAGGAATGATGTGCGGAGGGAGAGGAGGCTGCCTGGTTTCTTTGATCGGGAGGTTTACAACGTGTTGGTTGGAAGGGAAGTGACTGCAATGGAAGCCTGTCCCCTTGCATTGTTTATGCCGGGGCAAACAGATGCGAAGCATGGTGATGGGACAGAGGACGCAGCTGCAGAGGAAGAGGATGAGGAGGAGGGACCTGAGAAAGATTTAAATGGCGGTGGGGATGATATGGCAGAAGATAGATTAAGTTCAGATTTTGAGGAGTCTGGGCAAGACGAGACAGCCAAGAAATCAAAGAACGAAAACCTTATGCAAGACAGTCCAACAAAAACAGTCACAATTCCAATGCCTAATTCAGGTGATTTATTTTCTTTGCACTGAAATCGTATTTCATTACAATCGTGAATCGTGATCATATAAGCTTTCGGGTTTATGATTCTTCATCTAAATGCAAAGATCCATCTGAATAGCTATTCAAACATAATACATTGGAATTGAAGCAAACTTACAACCTGTATTTTGTGTATTTGTTGTGTTCTATCTTCCAGGTGCGATAAAGGAGAAACTAAGTCTAGGCTCAAAGACTTCTGGAGAAAATGTTTATCAGGAGAAATGGAAGCAGAGGCGGGTGTCAACAGATGAAAGCGAACACAGCAACATTGACCAGCTGATCAAAGTTCTGGAAAGGAACAGCAACATGCTGAATGCACAACTAGAAGCTCATAACATAAATTGCCATTTTGAGAGGGAACAAAGGAAGGAGCAAAACAACAGCATACTCGTTGCTCTCGGCAAGGTCACAGATGTTCTAGCAAGAATCGCCGACAAATTATGATCAACCTTTGTGGTAAAGCGAAAAACTTAGGAAGCTGCATACACATCTTTATCCTAGGCTCATTTTTACTTTCTTCTTGTACCAGTTATTGACATAAAGCTATCGAATTTATATCTTCTAATCTTAAATAGTTAATTAGAGACGACATCAGACTCCATAAGAGATACAAAGATCATTGTTAGCTTCGTAAACTTGATCGTTTCATCTGGTTACTGTTATAATTAGCAAATTTTTGCCATCTAGCTATGCAAATTGAAAGCAGGATACTAAAATTTCAGAATAGTTTCTTGGGATCGATGGCAATGAATTTAAATTTCATATGAAGAACACAAAATTGTCATCATACATATAAGATTGATACATGAACATCTAGTATAAAGAGAACAAAGCCATACATACACGAAGAGGATGAGATTCATGAGAACTTACAAGTAAACGAGCCTTACAACCAGTTAGAGCAAAAGGCAGAACTCAAATATGGCCTTTTCCTCCTTACTTATCAGGAACAGCCTCGACCAGCCTCGAAAAATAAAATTGTGTAGTGGTTAGTCCTCTCTTCCTTATCCTCCATCCAGCCTTCTTCAAAGCCCTCTCCACATCCGCCTCTGCGTGTAGGTACGCTCTTGTTGCCTTTGAAGTCCCCGGGAACAACTCTCCTATCCTCTTTAGCACATCATAATACAATGTCTTTGGTGCAAAACTTATAAGCAACCGATTCTCCGCCAATGAGGCAAGATGTGCAATCATCCTGTCAGCCTTGCTCTGCGGGTAATGAATCAAAACATCTAGACAGACCATCGTGTCGTACTTCCCATCCAAGCTCTCTAAATCCTTCACTTCGAATTTTGGCAGTACTGGTCCTGCCGAGAAGCCATTGCTTAACTGAAGCTGCTTTTTTGCCTGCATAAAAATCAAAAGTGTGAGATTAAACCACAGCCACGAGCAATTCACATTCAAGCAAAACAATCAACCAATACAACCCAGATTATAAAACTCCAACTCCAAAACCCACATCCAAAAAAGCAGGTTTTTCCAAATTTACTTATTTAAATCTCAAATTTCCAGCAAAACAATCACCAACACTGACCCAGATTCGCAAATTCCAATTCCACAAAAACCCACATTGCCAATCGGCTTCGTTCCACCGAATTCAACATTTCCCTCCAAAACCCATACCCAAAAAAGCAATCTTTTTTTTAAAAAATTAGTTAGAAATTCACATTCGAGCAAAACCATTACCAACCCAGGTTAGCAAGTTCCGATTCCACCAAAACCCACATTGCCAATTTCCCCAAGTCCATCAAACCAACACTTCCCTCCAAAACCCAAAACCAAAAAAAGCAGCTTTTTTCAAAATCACTAGTTCAAAACTCACCTGCTTCTCAGCCTCTGCAACCATGGCAGCTGAAATATCAGCAGCCGTGACAACCACCCCTTCCTTCGCCAACGGAATCGCCAACCAGTCCCACACCCGGCGTCGCACACAGAGACCCCCTGAAGTGGGCCCTCATCGGTCAACATCTTTATCACATTCTCAGCGGTCTTGGAGTGCCCGAGCCTGATGTCCCTCTGAACGCGGTTGACGTCATCCGTCTCTCTGTATATCTTCTTCCATCGCTCGAATCCAGACTTGTTGAAGTAGTCCTTCACCACCTCCTTGTCGCCACCGCCGACTTCTTCGGCCTGGAGGCGGCGACGCTTTTCCGGGTCGGATAAGGAAATCGCGGCGGCGAGGGCGGCCATCGATCCGCCGCCAATGGCGGCAATTGTGCGCTGTCGACTTCGGCAGGAGGCGGGAGGGCGAAGAGTGGCTTGACGACGGTGGTGGGGGAGTTTTAGGGTGGTAGGTTTTGTTGGCTTTGGGGAGAATATGGGCCTGGGATTTGGGTTGGGGAAGTGGAGTGGGGAGGATAGTGAAGCGGAGGATGCCATTTTTGGTCCTTTTTTGGGTGTTCTTCTCTCTCCGACAGGCGAGAGAGACTGTGGGAGTGCGACTGTGTGTCCGCTGGGCAGTTGATGAGCTTATCCTCGATAGGATAAGAGCTCATGCTACCTCGATTCCCGCAGGCCCCACTTTTTGTCAGGCTGTGGTTTCACAAATATTTGGGTGCGCCGGCCGTGCCACATCACCCTGTCCTTGCATTCACTCCATCAAAGTGAATTTGAGTCTTGAATTGGAAGCCCTGCAAGTTTTTAGGCATTGCTAGTTTTTTTTTTTTTTAGTACATCAATTTTTTTTTTTTTACATTATGGGAAGAAGGAATTCAGTTAAGCCACATAATGGACAATTTAATTTGATATCGAATTCTTCATTCACGAGATTCGAACTAAGACCTCTTACTTACAAGTGAAAAAGAATATCACCAGATCGTAGTACTGAATGATCACTTTGCTAGCATTAACTTATAACACAATGATCATGTGGTTCAGATAGCCTATAATATGAAAAGAATGAAAACCAAACTAATTCAAATAAAGTAATGCCTCAAGAAGAAAAAAAAAACACACCAAAAACCAAAGATTTAAAAAATGAAACTAGCCTTCATGCATGTGTTCACGCGCGACATTTTTTAAATCACAGCTTGTTACGCACGACTTACACATTCTAAATGTATTTATATGCGAAAATTAACAAAAGGAAAGTCAAATATTTCAAGTAAATGAATAATCTTACACTATGTTTGGATGAAGGAAATAAACTTGGAATTTGGATAAAAGTCAGAATTTATAAATTGACATGCACAAATTCTCTTGTTTGGATTTATAAACAAAGAAATTTAGAATTTCCGCATCAAAAATAAAAACTTGGAATTTGGGGCCTCCAATTCCCAAGTTTAAATTCCATGTAAATAGGTGTCATTTTCCAATTTCTATAATTGAGAGTTTAAAATTAACAAATTCCATTCTCAATTCCATTGTTCTTTTAGATTAATCAAACAAGAAATTTACAAATTCTATAAAATAAAATGCCTTCATTTCAATTCCCATCATTTTAAAATTCCTTAGTAATCTTAAATTTCTTCATCCAAACATAGTGTTAGATAATGTTAGAAGAAACCCCTCATAAACCAATTAAAACAACTGAGTTCACGTAATAAAATCGGTCTTTATATAATTTAAATTAAGAATAGAGAAAATAATATTTAATTAACAATTGATTGAATCACATTATTGCTAGCCCATTGTGAGGCTAAAGTCTAAACCCACCCCTCCCCCTTAATGTAGATAATATCATTTGTTAAAAAAATAAAAAAATCATTTGACAACTAATTTAATCACATTATTATCCACGTGCAAAAGACATTTTTTTATAACTAGCATTACACGCCTCTTAAGATGTTTTGAACATGTTTAAAAATAGAGAAAATTATATTTAATAAACAACTGCTTGAATCACATTATTGCTAGTCCATTGTGAGGCTAAACCCACCCCTCCCCTTTAGTGTAAATAATATCGTTTGTTAAAAAAAAAATCATTTGACAACTAATTTAATCACATTATTATCCGCGTGCGAATGCCTTTTTTTATAACCGGCATTATACGCCTCTTAAGATGTTTTGGACGCATTTAAAAATAGAGAAAATAATATTGAATGAATAACTGATTGAATCACATTATTGCTAGCCCATTGTGAGGCTAAGCCCACCACCCTCCTCCTCAATATATATAATATCGTTTGTTAAGAAAAAACAATCATTTGACAACTAATTTAATAACATTATTGCTAATCTATTATGAGGCTAAACCCACACCCTCTGTTCTTCTTCTTCGTTTCCCCTTTCTCTCTTCTTCTTCCCAGCCGCTCTCTCCCTCCCTCCCTATTTTATCCGGTGACTACACGCTTCCTTATACTTCTCTTTCTATTTTATTTATATACATAATAATAAACTGTGGCATGATTGTCTTCATGAATGCCATGTTCTGGGGATTGCGTCTGTGTTTGTTTTTTCAGATGGCACCTATGTTTCATTAAATATTGGAATCAGGACATCCCTATCTTCTACAAAACCATAAGGCCTAAAACACTAATTTTTCATGTATCATGATTACTTCTCTTGCCATTGCAGGAACTCTTACGTAAACACTAATATCACAAAGTGGTTTTCTTGTACTTAGATTGACCTTTAAATTTTCTGCAGTTACCAAATTACGTGTCTTTTGTCTTCTTCACCCCCTTGGAAATTTTTTTTGGCAATGTTGTCAAAGATTCACTGTATCTTGTTTATGGTTTCATGCTTATTAAATTTCTTCTGCTTAAACAAACAACCAAGGTTCTGGATGTCAAGGGATATTGTCTATTCAATAATTTATACGCATTCCGATTTTTCGCAGGTTTTTCTTTCTAGGTAAATCATATAGCTTGGCCGGTAAGAGGGTAGAAGCTTATGTGTTGTACTGCCATGCTCGCTCCCTTGCAGAGAATGCCCTACAGAAATTTCAATCTGTGAATAATGGTGACGAGGTTCGTATTACTGTAGGCCTTTTATTTTTGGCAATGTGTTTGCATAAACATTGAGTTAACAATGTGGACCCTTGTACTTTAAATTAATACCCTTTTGTCAGATGTATCTTGGGTATAGCCAAGCTACGTTAGGTATCTGTTTGGTCTGTCCGTTGGTTCCCCATGCAACTGGGGAGACAGATCTTTTGGAGTTGAAACTTTCAATTAGTTGACCTCTTATCATACCATATACCAGTTTTCATGCATGAGCACTAAGATGAATATAAGTTTGATTGGTTCTATCTTTATAGCAGGCGATGATCAAAGAGTTGAAGACATTGTGTGATGAGTGCAGATCCAACAGTTGCATAGAACATGCCACGGGGATCATGGAAGAGCTTCAGGCTCCTGAAAACCTTTCAAAAAAGATATCTAATATCAACTTAACTGGTGTTGACAAGAAGGTTCGACTTAGTCATTCCCTCTTTAACCATTTTTAGGCAGAATCTCCATGATTTTACACACACAAAATTCTGTTAATCATATATATCAGTGTTTATCTGGTTTGTGTATAAATGTGCCGGGCAAGATAGTGAGCGTCTTTTGCATACTCGATCAGGATCCTCTCCATTTGGGTCCAAAAGTGAAGAGGTCTACTTGATTCTGGACCAATTATGGCTGTCTGTGGCCCGTCTAGGCCTGCCCAGACATTGGACTTTCCAGATTAAGAACTGGCCTTTTCCTTGTGCACTTCTTAGGCTTTATGGATGCTCAAGCTGTTTTGTGTTTTCTAGGTTGTGAGAAACCGGGACTTCTAACCCGTCATACTTTGCTATAGTAACTATCTTTTGGATGAGTTTTTTTTTTGACAAATTTGTCTACAAGCCTCTCTGTGATTATGCTCATGTTCGGGCATGTAATTGTATGTGCCTAGCTAGGTCTAATATTCTGACATTTTTGTGATATGCTGATTTGGGTATTTTCCAGGTGGAGTTCCTCCTCGAGAAACTTGATGTCTATGAATCTGCAGTTGGCGATGCAAACGTGAAAAGTGCTCCACAGATTGAAGCTTTCCCTCCTCCCTTTCAATCAATTCCTCGAAACCCTATTGTGCTCGACATTGCCTACAATCATATTGACTTCCCGTCACTTCAACATTGGATGAAGAAAGACAAAAGCGGCGGCTTCCTTAAAAGGTTTTGGGGTTGAGTTCTCAGAGTTTTTCTACACGATAGGTTCATTACACACTCCGAAGAAGTGGAGGATTTCTGTTACTTGTACTTTGTCCTCGGCGGCCTTTGAGAAACAGTTTTTGAAATTAGCAAACAGGAATATGGACATGCAACTTTCTTTTTTGCTGTCAAATGATGAAAAATATAACAACGGAACTCGAAATTTTACAGTGAAAGCGCTGGTTGTTGTTCTGATGAGTTTTTGGTTTTAGATTATTTCGATCATTGAAGATGCATGCGACTGTGGCCTTCTCTGTGGGTCTGCCCGAACCCGCTGTGTTCGGGACGGGGAAATATCCATCTCTAGAGAAACTTGGTTACCAGATCTCACAGCATGACTACGTAATACTGGCAAGTGGCAACAAACACTCGTGTCACAGAGAGTGAGGTTCCTATTAATGTCATCAATTGCTGGAAAAAAAGTTGTAGGGGCTGATTGATCGGCTGCTCAAATCTCGAAACTATCTTGCAAGATTTATGTTGGAGAATTTCATAAACCCTATCCGCTATCAAATTTACTATTTTTTAATAATTTTCGGGAGGGGATTATAACTTATGACCTATTAAATATTGGAAAGCTAGAGTTGGTAATTATGAACTCTGCAAGAGGCTTATAACTTGAGTAGTTTGAGTGTTTATTCACGCACCTGACGTTTGGTGTTGAATTTTTATTCCTCCAATATTGTTTGTATAAATGCAAATTCTGACATTTAGGCGTGTTTGGTGGGTTAAATTAAATTGGGCATTAAGGATAAGATTGAATCGGCAAAGACTTGTAAGACAGGTGCAATACATGTATAATTATAGGTTAGATAATCTACTCTATTGTGAATTTATAACTCATCATGTCCGTCATCTCACATTTTGACATAACAAACAACGAATTGAACTTGAGTGTTTTTTTTTTTTTTTGAACAAATAATATTATCTACACTGAACTCAAATCCAATTTAACTGATCACAACTTATCATATCCAGCACCAAACGAGTCCTTACCGATAATCATAAAAACTTTTGTAGTGAGGAGTATGGTTGTAACTTGTAAGTGTCAATTGTATGGTGAACAAAAACAAGATTTGCGGAACCTAAAGCGTTGCGTTGTGGTGGGAACTGGTCCAAAATATCACACAACGAAATTGAGAGAGAGAGAGTATAAAAGGAAAAAAAGGCGGGGTGAGATTTAGTGACATGTAATTTAATTTTTAGTGACAGCCATGAAAAATCGCAGACACCTTCGTCCTCCACAAACTTGCTGCACTTTCGATCCCCCACCCCACCCCCTCTCCTTTCCAAGAAAAAAAAGGAAAACAAGAAGCTTTTTTCGTCGACCAAAAAAACAAGAGAAGCTTTTGCCAACCTCATTACCACCATAACTCTCTCTCTCTCTCTCTCTCTCTCTTCTCTGTGTGCAGAAATTCAAGGAGATCTCTGTATCCTTCCAAACATGCATTTCGCAAAGCTCGATGATTCGCCTATGTTCCGCCAACAGGTTTCTTCATTTTCTAAATTTTTAAATGCTTATATATATTGTCATTATCTTTGTATGCTAACATTATGCCATTGAAAGCTCAGATCAACTTGTTTGTTTTGGTAGGCTGATTTTTTCGTCATAGTTTACAAATTTCACATCTTTTTTTTTTTCTTCTGAATTTATGAATTGTCGTTAACAATGGTGTGACATTTTTGCTTCTATTAGAGTTTGCCAGTTTGGTTGATTTTCTTTTCAAATAAACGCATCGCATATAGTGAAACATTTTCGGCGTAATATAGATCGTTAAAGATAGCTAATTCAGCAGCCTTGATGCTGTCATTGTATTCGAACCCATGTCGTTAAAATTACTTGGGGTGAAGAAAGTTACTACTTTTCCCTGCATTTGTTGTTTATTCGATATTCGTTACTCTGCACAATCTGGACACTTGAAGTTTTGATGTTTGCTTATTGATGTATGCTATATTGGAAACAGATACAAGGGTTGGAAGAAAGTGCAGAGTCACTCAGGGGAAGATGTTATAAGTTTTACAAAGGATGTCGAAAGCATACGTACGATGAGAAGTCTCTCTATCTCCTTATGCCTTCTGTCTGAATAATGACAACATTTTCTCATTGAACAGCTTTCCTTGGCAGTTGTGTCGTTGTTGTGGCGTCGAAACATCAAATCTTTAAGCTTTTTAGCATCCGAGAATAAACAGATTACTCGACAAACACAGGAATGCACAGAGGAAAACTAAACCCTCTTCATATGAAGAATTAAACCAAAACTTCCCCACTCAATCTCCCCCGTTCAAGCCACGGAGTTTATTACTTCTTAAGAAAAATGGACGGAATTGTGGAGTTGTTTTTGTGGTTTTATAATCCTCAGCAGCTGTTATATGCGTCTTATAATTTTTATCCAATTTAATTTTTCAGAGAAGGGCTTGGAGAAGCGTATGATGGTGAAATCGCTTTTATAACAGCCCTCGAAACTTTTGGGGGAGGGCATAATGATCCTATTTTTTCAGATTTAGGAGGTATGTCTTTGTATGATTGTGTTCATCTCTGCCTAGTTTCTGTCAGTACTTATAAATTCCCCATTAATTTTCTCAGGCCATGTTATGACCAGATTCACAACTGCATTGAGAGAAATCGCGACGTACAAGGAAGTTTTTCGTTCACAGGTAGTAATCTGTTCCCGTGTCCTCAACAAAATCATAATCTGAACAATATTTGTCGATATGATCATATTTTTTCAACCTTAACCGTTTCTTCATCTCATGATGCTTATATATGATTTCTGTGTTGAAATCTTCATGTTGGTCTCAGTTAGAGCACATGCTAAATGATAAGCTGATGCACATTGTCCATGTTGACCTCCATGATGTCAAGGTACAATGTCCGGCGAAAGGTTAAGTAGGCTTGTTTACGTATGCACTATACTTACAGTAGTTGCTCCGGTTTACATGGCATTGGTTTCGATATTATGAACTGTGTTCTATTGTATTCCCTTTCATCCCTCTCATTGTCTAACAAATTCCTTTTTTCGCTAAAGTATCTTATTGGTGCAGGAAGCCCGAAAGCGTTTTGACAAGACTTCACTGGTATATGATCAGGTGATTTTCTGTTCTGACAATTTCATACATTCGCATTGGGCATCGAAGTTTGCAGAATACAATATTTTTCTTCAATCAAAATATGGTTTCTTGTGCAGCAAGCTTTTGTGTTTTTGTTAGACTTATAAGGGTAATGTGTATTCTGTGCACACTGCACAGGCACGTGAGAAGTTTCTGTCGCTGAGGAAGAGTACGAGGATGGATATAGCTGCTAGTATAGAGGAGGTATATCCAAAATGGTTCACCTCCAAATTCAAATACTATTCGGTCTGTTGTATAGGTTGAATTAAGATAGTTTTCCATGGGTGACCATTCAAATCTAACTTGGTAGAGAGACATTCCAGGAACTGCAGAATGCAAGATCCTCGTTTGAGCAAGCCCGCTTCAACCTGGTAAGATAAGTTTCACAACGACAATTTGGTTCAAATAAAATGCAATGCAGAAGAAGTTAGGCTTTCAACATAGTTTACTTATGTATCCAGGTTACCGTTCTATCTGATATCGAGGCCAAAAAGAGGTTTGAGTTTTCGGAAGCTGTTAGTGGCATGATGGATGCTCATCTCCGTTACTTCAAACACGTATATTACACCACCCTACTGATAATTTGTGTATCGCAACATCTACACTGCTTATGATATTGTCCATTCCATTTGCAGAGTTATGAGTTACTGCATGCAATGGAACCGTATATCCATCAGGTCTGTGATTATAAACAGCATCAAAGTTCTCTTCGGAAACTTTATGGTTTCACTGTCAAGTTAATATCTGTTATTGTTAACTGTAAGAGTTTTGCTGTTTTCTGGTATAGGTTTTGGCTTATGCACAACAGACAAGAGAAAGTTGCAAACAGGAACAGATATCTCTTAATGAAAGGATACTAGAGTACAGGAGGCAGATTGATCGGGAAAGTACGCAGTCCTTGAGCAGTATCCATGGTTCCCCCAGTGGAGATGGTCCACAGCCTCTCTCTCGGAAATCACATAAAGTGATCGAGGAAGTGATGCAATCTGCTGCAAAGGGGAAGGTACTTGCAGTTGCAGATATATTTCAGATTTCTTTTAGTTTTGGCACAGTTTGAAGTTGCATCCCTGTAGGTATGAATATGCTTTCAGGTACAAACCATTCGGCAAGGATATCTATCAAAACGTTCCTCCAACTTGAGAGGTGACTGGAAGCGAAGGTATTTCATCCTTGATAGTCGAGGGATGCTGTACTACTATCGCAAACCATTGACTCGGCCATCTGTAAGTCATTTGCCGGAGGATACGTTGTATAAACCTTGTTTTGTGTCTCCCACTGCTTACTTGATGTTAATCATACTCTTTCAGTATGGGAGTCAATCTTCTCCACAGAAGAATAATTACTCTGAAAATGGCTCCGGGATTTTGAGTCGATGGCTTTCATCTCACTACCATGGCGGTGTACATGATGAAAAATCTGTTGCACGCCACACCGTGAACTTGCTGACATCAACGATAAAGGTTGATGCAGACCAGACAGACTTAAGGTTCTGCTTCAGAATTATATCACCAATAAAAATCTACACTTTGCAGGTATTCGTTTCAAAAAGTTCTTGGGAGAGGTTAATGTTGGATTCTTACGAAATTTGACGCCTTAAACATATGGCAGTTGATTCTAAATTTTTTCGGCGATGCAGGCAGAGAATGCACTTGATCAAATGGATTGGATTGAGAAAATCACTGGAGTAATTGCTTCACTATTGAGTTTCCAGACATCTGAGAGGGTAATTGTTCAGAATCTGCATTCTTTAAAACATGAAACCTTTGAATCTACAGTTGTTGAAAAGGTTATCGATTGTTTGGCAGCGTCTCTCGACTAGCCCTACAGGAAGCGACGATCAATTCTCTGGAAACGAGGGTAGTTCATTAGAAAGCCCTCCTGATGATGAGCAGACAGCTATTCCGGAGCTCTCACCTAAGATCACAGCTCGTAATTATCTCCGAATGTCTAAAAGTTTGCAGCCGCACAAGTTCAAACCGAAAAGTGAGAAACTGATTGACTTACTGAGAAGAGTGTCTGGTAATGAAAAATGTGCAGATTGTGGTGCACCTGAACCAGATTGGGCATCTTTGAACCTTGGGATTCTTATTTGCATCGAATGTTCTGGTGTCCATCGTAATCTCGGTGTACATGTATCAAAGGCAAGTTGTCTAGTTTAAGATTTATTCTGTGAAATGGTTATGGATGTCTCCGTTTGTTTATTAACGCATTGATGCAGGTTCGGTCACTGACACTTGATGTGAAAGTATGGGAACCTTCTGTCTTAACCTTGTTTCAATCACTGGGAAATACTTTCGTAAACTCGATTTGGGAGGAGATGCTGTATACAAGTTCTTTGCAGGCTGATAACATGCCTATAGGGTAATTAAGTACTCCGTAAATCTATATGATTGGAACTGATGTTCTTGTTGTGCTAATAACTCGTTAGTTCGTGCGATGCAGTTTCTCCAGTGCTGATAGAAATGAGCCCTTTCTTATGATAAAGCCATGTTATGACGATCTTATTTCGACAAAAGAGAGGTATATTCATGCAAAGGTATTCTTCTAAATAGTCTGCTCACCCCTTTTTGTTTCAACTGTATAATTTCGATAGGATTTGTTGTTCCGAATCTCTGAGATTTCTCTCTACTTGCAGTATGCAGAAAAACTTTTTGTTCGTCGTACAAAAAACAATCAGAAGCTCCACGTAACGGGGCAACAGTTGTGCAAAAGCGTCCGAGCGAATGACAAGAAAGCAGTTTACCGCTATATTATTGGTTATGAAGCAGATGTTAATGCTAGATCAGTGCAAGCATTAGATGGTATGCTCTTATAATCTGAAAAATGAACTGCAATTGGTTGAACAGAAATTACCTGATACCGAATGGTCGCTTTGCAGATCATTCCGAAGACAAGCCTTCGTCGAGTAACTTAAATTCTGTCACTAGAAGTGAAATTCAGCCCGCAAAAGACAGCGCTGAGGACTGTTCCCTGCTTCACCTAGCTTGCCAAAGTGCCGATATTGGCATGGTAGAGCTACTTTTACAGTATGGTGCGCACGTAAACGCTACTGATTTAAAAGGTCAAACACCGCTGCATTATTGCGTTATCAGAGGGAACATTGCTATTGCAAAGTTGCTTCTTGCGAGGTAAGCCTTTGTGCATTTGGGACTCATTTGGGGTTGCTTCTGTGTGAAGTTCTTCTGCGGAAAACTGCTTCTTCTACAAGTGCTTTTATTAAATGCTCGGATCGTTTAATTCAATTGCAGGGGAGCTGATCCTCGAGCCACTGACAGAGAAGGTAAAACACCAAGTGAGCTTGTATCAGAATCCGCCTCGAAAGACAATGGGATGCTGGCTCTTTTAACAAACTCCGGCAGATGATGTTCTAAAACCGAAATTTTTCGCATACTTAACACGAGAACTGATCGAAAATGTGAGACCGTTTTACCTCTTCGAAATGTAGGATCAGTTTAGTTTTATGGGTTGAGGTATATAGAGGCAGTTTGATTTGGTTTGTATCTGTTTATGTACTATTTTGTTCTCTATAATTTGGTTGTGTATAAAAATAGAATGTTAGGAGGTTTTAGCAAAAGTTATTTTGTTGTTGCATGTAGATGATCAGTTTTTCAAAGAAATGTCGATTGGAACTGAGCGTTTTAGCTTTCTCTTTCTAGTAAAACCATTTTATGTATCTTAATTTTAACTCATTACTCATTTCACGTATCTTAAATCTAACTCATTACTGCCCACTTTCACTACTTTAGCGCTCTGCACTTGTCTACCCAGCTTGTACCGTGGGCACGATAACTGGTACACCAAAGATGCGTCCTTCCCGATACTCTCGTACTAGGGAAAGGTCCTCGCAATGCTCTTACGCCCACACTGGATATGAACCGAACAGTCTCACAACATTCTGAATGCAGCTCACGTACCGATTTAATGAGCGAACAATCCAGACCCTTGGAACATACTACAGCCCTGGGTGGCGAAGAGCCGACATCGAGGTGCCAAACCTTCCCGTTGATGTGAGCTCTTGGAGCCCCCAAGGTTCAAAGTTAACTGTTTAAACTAAATTGTCCATATCAAATGTTGGGAAGATAAATCTTATACAATACTGGTGATGGTTTATAAATCAAATAATCTGAGCAGAAAATGCAACCTATGATAAACATAAAACATCACATAAACTCTCATTACTGAGAAGAGTTTTAGTAATAAAAAGCATAAAAGCAATTTAGAAGCACTTTGTTGAACTCAATCTATCCAGAAACTCTTCAGACTGCTGTATCATTTGAGAATTTGCATACGGTAATTAAAATTTAATACGTAAACAGCTGAGATGCATCATGAGTAAGACGTAAGTTAGTCGTTTATCAAATCTGACTTGAGATACAAGAAAGTAGAATGTTCAAAATAGATCCTCTTTACATTGACTCAAAAATATTTTCTTTCGTATCTAATCTGCCTTCATCTGAACGATACAAGGGCACTCGCTACATAATATCAGCCATCATTAAGAGGAGAACTAAGTTCTAAACACATGAGCACAAAGAAGCAGAAATCTTCCAGCATGAAAATATCAGCAAACAAAGTTGCTTCTTTCACAAGCAAAATTGCTAGTTACCACATTAGCTTAGGTCTGTTACCTGTACGACCACCTCACGGCATTGTTTCCTGGTCTTGGTTTTATCACCCGTCTTCATATCATCTGGATTAACCCAACACTAACCTTCAAGTGTACTGACTACTTCATATCCTGCCACTGTTGTCCCTTTCCCGTCCTCTTTACATCAATGTCTGTTTCAAACCAAAAAAGAAAGTTCCATAAAGTTGTCAAGAGGTTTAAATTAAACCAATAAACTTTTCCAAGCAATTCTGCAGTTAACTATTAAGGTGCACAGGTAAAAGTTTACCTTTCTAAGCATTGAATCCACCCCTTTGCTTTAAGGAGAACACAATCACTGGTTAAGAATGATGAAGCTCCGCATTGGCAAAACCAAGCTTTTCCATACCACAACTTGCAAACTCCACCCTCAGGCCAGCATTTGAATTTGGTTGAGGGAGCAATGAATAGGAAGAGAACCAGAAATTCTGTCTCGATCAACTAGATTGCCATCTTTCCTTGCTTTCAACATATTCCGGAGCTAACCTCACTTTGGTCCTCATGAATTAAGTCATCTAAATTGGTGGAATGTGAAACCCATCCAAACCTAAGCATGCTCTCAAAAATCCTTGCTGCTTTTTCCGCATTCCCTAATTTGTGAAATCCACGAACTAATGTGCTGCATGTTGCAAGACTGAGCATAAATCCATGTTCTACCATTTCCTCAAGTGACTTCATTATCTCAGAAAATTCTTCCCTTCGGAATAGAGTACTTGTCAGTGCATCAACCACTGCACTGTTGGAGATTGCACCATTGACCAAAGTTTCATCCACCAGCTTTAAACATTTTACCAAATCACCTTCTTTGCAATAAGCATCAACCATCATACGATATGTAACTTCATCAGGCTTGAGTCCCCTCGTCACCATCTCATCAAAAAGAGAAAACATCTTATATCTGCTTCCCGTGCTATTGTATCCGTGTAAAAGTGAAGTATATGTTAAAATATTTGGCGTTAGATTCCTTTTCTGCATTTCCAGAAAGAGCTGTTCTGATTCCCTCATCAACCCCTCTTTGCAGAGGGAAACAATCAGAATCGTGTAGGTGACATGATTTGGGGTCACATGCTTATCCACCATATCTTCCAACAACCGGTTAGCTTCCACCATCCTCCCCAATTTGCAGAAGCCATCAATCAATGCATTGAAAGGAGAAGTGGCCGCAATGCCCTTCCCCACTATGTCCTGAAATAAAGACACAGCCCTCTCCATGTCACCTGCCTTGCAGCACCCATCAATTAGGATGCAGTAGATGAAACTATCTGTAGGGATCCCACGTAGAAGCATCTCATCTAATAACTGAAATGCCTCGGTTAATTTTCCAGATTTGCTATATCCGTCCATCATTGTAGCATAAGTCACAGCATTAGGAGACAAACCCTTTCTGGAGATTCCATCAAACAGTTCTCTGGCTCTATCAGTGTCACCTGACTTACACAATCCATTAATCAAGGCATTATAAGTAACAATGTTTGGATCAACGCCTCTCCGGCACATCTGTTCAAGAAGTTGGAAAGCCTTATCCACATTTCCCTGCTTACAAAAGCCAGATATGAGAGAGCTGTAAGTAAAAACATCTGGAACCAGATCCTTGCCGAGGAGCTCGGAGAAAATCCCCATTGCTTCTTGAATTTTTCCATTCTTTGAGAGACCATGAATAATGACACTATAAGTTTTGATATCTGGGAGCACCCCTCGTCCAAGCATACATCTAAACGTAGAATATGCTTCGGTTAAGTTACCATCTTTGCAGTGCCCGTCAATCAGGGCTGTATAGATAACATCATTAGGAGCTATACCGCAACCCAACATCTCCTGGAAATACGTATTTGCAAGTTGCATTTGCCCCTCCTTACAGTATCCATGAATAAAAGCCCCATAAGTATACGCATTAGGCTTTAATCCTCTGTCAACCATTTCCACGAAGTAAATCCTGGCTTCATCCATTTTCCTGGCTTTACAGAGGCCAATTATAAGAGAATTGTAGCAAAATGCATCAGGCATGACTCCCTTTTTGGTCATTCCTTTTAATACTTTTATTGCCTCTTCAAATTTTCCTTCCTGGACGTGACCTCTAATTACAGTTGTGTAGATAACGGCACCTGGTTTCAAACCTCTGGTAATCATTTCCTTCAGAAGTTGATTAGCCCCTTCCATATCTCCACACCGGCTTAGGCCATTGATTATCGCTCCATAAGTGAACACACCGGGTGCAAAGTTCCTCTTCTTCATCTCATTAAGTAACTCACAAGCCTTGACCATATTTTGCTCTCGACAATACCCGTCAATTAAAAACTTGTATGTCTGGGCATTAGGTCTAGTGCCCATAACATTCATCTCATTCAGGAGAACTTCTGCCTTCTCCATCCTACCAACTTTACACATCCCAGCAAAAATTGCATTACATGTGGCATCGCACAACTTAAAGCCTCGAGCAATTGTCTCATCTTTGATCCTCAGAGCCTCTTCCAAGTAACCTTCTTTCATCAACCCATCAATCAAAGCAGTGTAGCAGGTGCTGTCGGGACTCAAACCTTTATCATACATGTATTTCAAAATCAATTTTGTTTCTTCTGGTCTCTTCGTTCTGCACAACCCATCAACAAGTGCCGAATAAGTATACCTATCCGGGACCAATCCCTTCTCCACCATAGACTTCTTTACCGCTAAGGCTTCATCGACATCCCCAGCCCTACACAAACCACCAATCACCACATTATAGGTACTTAAATCTGGATTACCACCCTTCTCCTCCATCTCTAACAGAAACCTCTTTCCCTGCCCGGCATTCCCTGCCCTACAATGCGCATGGATCACATTGTAATAAGTGTAAAAATCAGGTTTCATTTTCGCCTCTAACATCCCATCATACACCTTCCAAAACAACTCCATTCTATTACACTTCAACAAATCATTCAACAGAGAATTGCAGCAATCCAATCTTGGCAAAATCCCAACTTTCCTAAGTCCCAGAAAAACATCAGCAGCCTCATTCAACCGCCACGCCGCCTTAAAAGCTCTAATCAGAAACTCAAAAACAATCTTATCAGACCCACCACACTCACCGCCTCTAAAACAACTAACAACAGAATCCAAAACTTCGAAAACTGGTTTTCGGGTCTTAACCATTCTATCTAACACAGCATTAGCCTGCTCAAACATCTTGGAATTGCACAGAACAACAGCAAGAATCGAAAAGGAATGCAAATTTTGGGGAAAACCCAGGTGGGTATCGGTCCATAGGAAGAAACTAAGGAGGCGTTTTGGGTCACCAACCTGGTGGTTCTGCTGCAGAACGGCTCGGACCACATGTGGGTTCAGCTTCCTGGGGAGGTCCGATGAGTTGAGAACGAAGTGCCAGTCGCTGTGGTTTCTGAGGACGGTGGAGATTTCTCTCACTGTTTCGTCATCGTCATGTTTGAACGTCTCTGATTCCTGCGAGGTGGTGGTGCAGTACTCGATGTGAATCAAAAGTCTTGCTTTTGCAATACCAATTCGATTATTCAGATGAAATGCAAAGAGATGTCCATGAGAAAATAACCCCATTTTTTTGCTGATGCCCAAATGGTGAGCCACTCAGCTATGGCAATGGAGGCATGAGATGAGAGCAACACAAAGACATCTGACCAAGAGAGGAAAAGAGGAGAGGGAGAGAGGGAGAGAGGGGGAGAGAGGGGGAGAGATTGGCCTGGACTATTTTGTAAAGTTATAAACTTTGAAGCCCAATTCA